AGAGCATCAGGCTAGAACGCACTAGCCCAAGGGGACCCGTCTACCTTCCAAAATAATTATATATATCTCTCTCGCGTGTTGTTATCAAAACTAAGTGCAATAGTGTTATATAACGTCAAATGACCTCTGAAGAGCGGCAAGCATTTGCAATGGTGCAGTGCGCGCCCTCCTGTCATCACAGTTGACAGGCGCGCGCATCTGCTTTGCCAGCACTGCGCATAGGTGCGCCTGCCCCTGGGGATAATTTGACATTCCGCACAACACTATTGCGAACGCTTTCCACAGCTCGGGTGTCAGTTGCCTCCTAATCGTTTCATCTTACATCATTACCGGCAAGAATCGGGTGGTTCAGAGGATTTGTTGCTTTGATTTTCTCAAGAGCAGTATCCATCAATGAAATGCGCAATCCTAACGAAATTATCTACTACAAACTTGAAGCTTCTCGAACACCCAGGTGTTATTGCGCCGATGAATGCTCACAATCATTGCGGCTTTAAGCAAGGCACATGGAAATGACATGCGTAAAAGTAGCGAAATAAAAATAAAACGTAGAAGTAACTAGGCAAAGAGAAGTAACTGAAGGCGTGAGCCTCATTTGCTGTTTGCGTTCGCACATCTGCTGCTTTATCGGTTAGAATATGAAGGCGTCATACTGCCATACACCTAAATTAACGGGCATTTCCATTATTGCGCAAAATAAGCTCTGAAAACGTTAGCCAGCGTTACTTTCGACTAAAGCGACTAAAGTGGACCTTCCTCGCAGGAAAGGGTTGCCTTAGAAGATCGCGACTGATGAGTTCTTCATAGGAGTATACTAGAATAGAATAGCATGAATGGTAGTTTACCACAATCTCTCAATAGAAAGTTATATAACAGCTGCACCATAATAGTATGTACATGTATACGCCATACAAACCCGAAGCCTACGAAGAGGCTTAAACCTAAATTGAGGACGACGCAGATGCGGTAACAGACATAAAAAAAGGACTGATGTAAACACGGGAATCGCCTTTGCCTTGCAGTAGGTGCGCGCAGACTAATGATGATGACGAATGATAAAGTTAGCCTTGAGAGTTTTTTTCAGTGTCAGTTATGGCAAATGCATGCGTTTGTCGCGACCTCCAAAGGCCTTTGGAGGTCGCGACTGGTTACGCATTGTTCTTAGTGCACAATTCCTCTTCAGTGCGTAAACATTATATGGCTAAACGGTCAAAAACTCTGGTGGCATCACCCGGCAGCGTCGTGAACACGAAAGCAACCTAAATTATTGTGACCTTGGACACAAATGTAACAGCGCCAAATGACTACGAGTACAAAGCAGAAGAGTTTGAATTAAATTGAACGTTAGTCAATGTGTACCGACTACCAACAACGGTGTATCAACGTGCACTCGAGAGTGAATGAAGAGATAATTAAGAATCAATTAGGGGACTTGAGTATAAATGAAGAGTGAATCAGAGGGAGAGAGAGAGAGAGAGACGACAAAAAGAAAGACAGGGAGGTTAACCAGATGCAGGGATCCGATATGCTACCTTGCACTGGGGTTGGGGAATAGGGGGTTGAAAGAGAGAGGGAGAGATAAAAAGTAAATAGGAACAAAAAAAGACAGACACACACGCGCACACAAAATCAATCCACACAGAGTCGTTCACACAGGTTAGTTGTTCACAAAAAGCCAAGCAGGGCTTGCACGGACTTCTGATGAACAGTTAATCAAGTGTTTTAAGCGCGAATCAAGAAAGAATAGAGCGAATTACGAGTAAATCAAGAATGAGTTATGTGACTGATGGGCAAATCAAGAAGTAATCACACGAGTTAATAATGAATGTAAATGAGCTATGGCTGCTAAGAGGTAACCAAAATAATTAGGAGTAAGCCAAGAATGAGTTAATAGGTGACTAAAGGGTGAATCACGGATAAATCAAGCGAATTGAATGTGAATCATGGCCTATTACAGCAAATCGAAAAGTGGTTAGAGATAATGAGGAGTGCCTCGCCGAGCATACGCTTTAGGTCGTGCTATGCGTAGCGCTATAGGTCTAGCAGTGCCAGTGACTCTGCTTCATTTCTCTTAATTATTTCTTCCCCCCTACATTTGCCCTTTCAAAGAATGCAAGTGCCGATACACCGCTGGTCCTGTGGCTCGAAGGCGGCCCCGGCAAGACGGCGCTGTTCGGCCAGTTTCTCGAGAGCGGACCACTGGGCATCGGCGCTGACGGACAGCTGTACCGGCGACGGCCGACGCTCCAGGAGGAAGCTGACGTCGTCTACCTGGACCAGCCTGTCGGCGGAGGCTACAGCTTCACGAGGGACCGGCGTGGTTTCGCGCGCACGCTTGACGACATCACCGGCTCCATCGAGGAGTTCCTGCGGCAGTTCCTGATGCTGTTTCCAGAGAACAGGAACAGGCGCTTCTACGCCCTCGGAGAGTCGTACGGCGGTGAGAGACGGGGCGACCGTGATTTGGTCGCCAGATTGCGCAATGTCGTCGCAAAATGAAAAAGAGAAGGAAGGAAGAGCGTTTAGAAAAAAAAAATAAATTGGGGCCAAGGGCACGCCCACATCTCCGTGGAGCGGAACAAAACGGGGCCACGCGTGTCACGTGTTCTTCGGAAGCGGAAGAGCAACGTCAAGTCTTGACGCTCTTCCGCAACTAATGGTCCTCTTAGGCGCTATTTTCTGCGGCGTACCGCGAAAGTCGAGCGTTCGTTAAAAAAAAAAAAAGAGACAGAGAGACGTAACCTTAATCTTTCGCGAGCACAGCCTCGCAACGCGGAAAGACCCCATTTTCCTCTCCACACGGCCACATGACACCGTTGTCAAACGCATTTTAGGCAATCGCTATAATTAAAGCTGTCAGTTTAATTAAATAGAAAGTGCAAACGGCACCGCATAGCGAAGGCACTCGCATGTGTATGCACTCAGCATGCTGTTACTGGTGTCTCTCGAGAGTTCGGCGTACGTTTTGTGCGAAAACAAAATAATAAGTGAAAGTTGGGCAAGTTTGTTATTATTCAAGGTATTATTTAGGCGCGCAGAAACAATCGTTTGTTTTCTGCATTGTGTCCTTGGTTTTTTGGAGGGGTGAGGGAATACCAAACTTTCGCCATGAAAAGAAATCTTAAGTTTTCTGGTTTCGGACTTCGGCGTTCTTGCCAATGATATAAGCATCCTAACTGTACTTGTGATATTTGTACTTCTTAAAATAAAAAAAATGCTAGACAGGTACCGCTCTAAGGCACACAAGCATGCACCTGAGATAGAAGATAATTATTACATTCGCTGCATCAGAATTCAGACAACGTGCTCATTGTTTTCAGTTCGAAGTTATTGCGTATTGTATAACTCGTGCAGCATAAAGACATTATTAAAAAGCGAGACCTGAGAGCTTTGACATAGTGAAGCACCTCAGAAGCAGAATTGCATATTCTTTTCCCTGTCGGTGTACAACGGCATTCGAAATATGAACAGTATACAGAGTTGGGGGGGGGGGGGTACAGTAAGTAAAATTATTGTGTTAAGAACATAGAACATTTATTGACGGAACGTTTATTGCAACAGCATAATGAATGGCCACAAGATTCAGTCTGCTGTGAACTCGCAGTCCCTGCATCCGTAAAAGGTGCCGGCGTGCACGGTGTTATATCATGCTTCGTACACTTAGTTGAACTGGACTCAGCTGATTGTCAATTTGCCTATTTGTTTTATTCCAGCTCGATCAGCCTTAGGGATCGTGAACCGCCTTCAAGTAAACAAGACACTCCCACTGAGAGTCTCCGGAGTGATCCTCGGAGTCCCTTTCATCGCCCCTCTCCTGGACCTAATAGACTCTTCGGACTACCTGTACAGCACAGGACTGATTGACCCCCGAGGTCATGGGATGCTCACCCAGCGCTTCCAGCAGATCAAACTCGCCTCCCAGGTGAACCGCACCATAGCCGCCGCTCTGCTGCTGAAGACGGTGTTCAACGCAAACTTTGACAACGAGCCCAGCCTGTACCAGCAGCTGACCGGCTACACGGATCACGGAAGCGTGCTGCGAAGCAGACCCGAACCTCAAACACTCATGTTTTACGAGTACGTCACGAGCGACGCCTTCAAGAGGGCCATTCACGTGGCGGGAGCTATGCCTCTGCAAGCGCAGAAGCTGGCACTGGGACTGAGCTTGGCGCAGAGCGACTACTTCACCGACATCAACGACACCCTCGCCAGAGTTCTCGACACGAACAGGGTACTGCTCTACACGGGGCAGATGGACACCGTGTTCCCGGCGGTGAACATCGACCGGTACCTGCGTCAGCTCAAGTGGAGTGGTCAGCGCGAACTGGCGGAGGCCCAACGCGAGACCTGGTACTCGTTCGCCGACGCTACCAGACCCGCTGGGTACGTGACCCGGGCGCGGAACTTGACCTACGCCTTGGTCTCCCGCGCCGGTCATCACGCCACCTTCGATGAGCCCCAAGCGCTGTTCGACCTCACGTACAGTTTCATTCACGGCAGAAAATACGAAGCATCATGAGCACGTGCGTCCTTATTTAATCATTCTACAGAACCTGTTGCAGTGTAACGGCTTTTCATTCCGAGGAAAAGAAAGGAATGACCGACAGTCGCCCGCTTGTGGTGCTAAGGCATTGCAGAGCGTTAAATGACGATGACTGATGGGTGTTATCGGCGCAAGGGTCGTATGTGCGAAAAGCGCTGACGGCGACGGTGATAAAACATCATGTAGCGTTCAGTGGCAATGCAAAGATGATGATTTGGCTGTTTAAAAGCCTCCAAAACAGCCGCTGCGAACTTGTGGAATACATAAATTAACTTAAAGTACAAAAACAAATTGTCAGCAGGGCATTAAATGCGAAAAATAAGACATAGCCAGATGGTAAAATGTTTTGAATGACACTAGCACCCCTGCCTAGCCGTGACCATTGAGCACGAAGGCCTGGATGTGCGTGCTGTACAAAATAGCAGGAAGCATTAAAGGTTTCAGTTCTTAGAATATCTATTTTGTCTCGCATTTGTAAAAACAGTTTTCTTTTGATTGATTGATGAATAGGAAAGGTTGGTATCATTCTGGTGGCACGGGTACCTTCTAGATCAGGAGACGAAATATGCACAAAATATTAATAATAGTAATAACACAAAATGTCCTACAGTCGAACACTGTGCGAATGCAGTACGATCGAACACAACGTTGAAGTTCAAAGAGGTAAAACAAGTGGAGCAAAAGTTAAAAAAAATGTAAATGCAGTTTGCATATAGACATCCAAACTCACACAGCCTGTACGTTTTAGCATGCGCAGGAAAACACACCAAGGCAACCACACATAAAGGGAAACGCTATCCCATCATTATACTTTTGCTTGCAGTGGGCAGAGGAGAGCAACCGCACAGCGCAGGTGGGCGATGCGTATGGATGATGCGCAGGTATCTCGAGTGTATTTGATTGATTCATGTGAGGTTTAACGTCCCAAAACCACCATATAATTATGATAAACGTCGTAGTGGAGGGCTCCGGAAATTTGGACCACCATGGGGTTCTTTTTCGTGCACCCAAATTTGAGCACACGGGCATATAGCACTTTCGCCTCCATCGAAAATGCAGCCGCTGCAAGAATTTCGAGTTTGAAAGCGCCTGAGTTTTGTCGTAGCATATGGGGCTCGAGTGGAGAAATGGCCCACGCATCTCATAGAACAGTAAGACTGTAAAGATGACTGACTCAGAGAGGCCGTTCAGCGGAACATGGTTCACAATATTGGTACGTAACTTTCTACTCGCAGTCCTCTCCCTGATCTCTCTCCAACACAGGAGAACAAACTGTTTTTGCCCATGCCCCTTTGCCGGTACAGTTGACGTGACATGTTTAGCGACATCCAGGTTTTGAGAAATCTTTGAAATTCCCAGCAATTCGTTCCTGTTTTCGGTAGAACGGCGCAATACTATCAGCGTCAAAAGAAACGCGAACAGCGGCCAGCATTAGAAATGGCATGAACAGCATGCACGCGACTATGGTCGCAGCTTCGTAAAGCATTAGTTCATCAACGTAGCAGCCTTGATGAAATAAGAGACCATAATCACATGTCATATTACTTGTTTTGATATTATAACGACGTGGCCAAAGTTTCATTGCCTTCTCTGCGTTGGTAGCACTAGAATTTGCAAGTGATGCGAAGATAACAATAACATGCAACGTCACAAACATTGCGTACTCCAACATGACAGTTTCAGTGACGTGAGTGCGTACCGTTCAATCATCACCACTGACAGGGGGGCAATTATCCGGTCTGGGAGCATCGCGCCATCCCATTGTAGTGCGATTTCTCAGCTACAATTCTACTTTTCACATTTCAGAGGAAGAAAACAAAAATGAGAGAAAATGAAATGGAAATGCTCAAAGGACTCTGCGTGCCGTGCACGCAGGCCGCCGTTATCACCATGTCAAAAACATTGATATAGGTGGGCTAGGTAAGTGGGTATAGATTCATTAGGCAAACTTGGCAGAGCAACAGTGCTGCTTGCGATCATTGCGACTGTGATGAAACGATAAAACACATTCTCTGTAAGTGACCTCACTATAGCGTGCGCAGACAGCCGCTATAGCTACGCCCTGCCGACAGACCCTTGTCAGAACAGTCAGTGCTCAAAAGCCGGCACGATCTGTCTTCGCCCAGAAAATCAGTCAAGGCCTTATTGAACTTTTTGCGTGGTAGTAACCTATTTATTAGGCTACGCCACCCCGCTATTTTTTTTTTCACGCGCCTACTTTTCAGTTCACTTTCCTTTTCATCTTTATTACCCATTCTCCCTCTCTTTGAGGCAGGGTATAGCAAACCGGATGTCCCAACTTTTGGTGGACCTCCCTGCCTTTCTCTCATTTTAGTTTCTCTAACTTGGCAGCGCAAGCAGTTCGGACGGCCAGCCGTGATGGATCAGTCCTTATGGTGCTTGGCTGCTGATTCGAAGGGCGCGGGTTCGGTCCTGGCTGAAATGGTCACATATCAGTGGAGGTGAAATGCGAGAAGACCATGTACTGTGTGGTGTCAGAGCATGTCGAAATTTCCGGAGCCCTACACCAATGTGTCACTCATAACAATACCAAGGTTTCGGGAGGCAAAAACCCACACGTTATTATTATATTATTATTGATATGATTATTATTATTTTTTTGAATTTTGGTGCACTTCTTTCCTGAACACTGTCATGACAACAAAACTAGGGACATTGCTTCGGTATTTTCCAGAAATAAGAATACTGATAGCTGCGTCAGCTCACCCTCGTATCCCTCTCACTCTGTGAGATCTCGTTTCCGGACGATACTTGATTTCTGTTGACGCTTCCCTCTCAGGAGGATATGCTCCATGATTGTTGAGGCAGCAGAGTTATGGACACACACGTCTTTGTGGATGATGGCAGCCAGGGGAAGTTGAATTCGAAGAACTGTTTACTTCCTATCGTTACAGCAGGAAAGCCAGGCGCCAAAGGAAGGTCATTGCGAAAAAAAAAAAAACACATCACTACTTCCCTTTAAGCATTGCACGCGTTGTGAAACATGTCGAGTTTGGGGCTCAACCAACGGGGGATGGAGGAGGCGGTGCTACGATGAAACTTGGCAGCCCCTCTCCCCAGCCCTTTGAAATACTTTGTGCACAGTCATGTACACCAATGTTTTCGTTATTTGCATGGACTAGGGGCTAAGAAGGAGCAAACTATATTGATACTTTGATGAAACCACTTCAAAATGTACCCGGATCGTTAATAAACACGTAAGCAATATAACCGCTGGTCATGAAGGATAACTGACTGGATTCCCAGAGAATGCAAAACGCACAGAGTTAAGGCCTGGTTCAAGCTTCGATCATTAGCACAATAACATACGCTCTACCCAATCAAAACCTAAGCTGCTCAGAAATCAAGATGGTGGACCAGGTCATACGGGACGCCTGTAAAGCGGCACTAGGATTGCCGGTGAACACCGCGAATGAAAGACTATACGACACAGGCGTATACAACACATTCGAAAAACTGAAGGCCGTGATTCTGATAACTCAGACAGAACGACTGTGTCTAACGCAACCTGGGCAACAACTATTATCTGTTCAAGAGAGTCGTTTATTGGGTAAGTTGGTACGTATAATGTACTTAGTAAACTACAAAAGCCACAAAACGTTGAAAGCGAAAAAAAGAACAGAGCATTAGAAACAGAGACAGAGAGCTCTTTGCTTTCTATCTCTGTTTTTACTGCTCTGATTTTTCTAATTTCACCGTTTTGTGGCTTTTGTAGTTTACAAACTATTCTCTGAACTGAGCTACCCGGTCTGACCGCCATTCTGCAGTGACAAAATTTATCAAATTTTGAGCCACATCAGGACGAAAATAGACGCGACACCAATACCAAAGAAGATGAATGCCAAGTTTCACAAAGGCAGACGGCAAGCCCGAGCCAAGCAGCTCATTAAAACCTTTGGAAACAGTGAAGAAATGTGGTACACGGACGCCACTCGTACTGTCAGAGGACACGTCATAGTAGCCGTTCGCAACACACAACGCAATAAAACTAATATAGCGGCCTAAGTCAACACAACATGCACAGCCACAGCTGAAGCTTCAGTAATCGCGATGGCAATCAAGTATTCCGACGGCGCCGGGCAGTCGGCATTGGTTATATGCGATTCTCAAGCAGCGTGCAGAACGTTCGTACAAGGAAGATTACCACAAATTGCACTAAGAATATCAGGCTACTCACTCGGAGAAAACCATGCGATCATACGGTGTCAAGCTCACGAAGGCATCTTAGGGAATGAGAGGGCGCACGCCTTAGCTGGAGAACTTAAATTGAGTGGGGAGCCGCAGCCCATGCCAAGGTAGTCCGCTCACGGGGCAAGACATCCTCGAACACTGACGACGCACGAGAGAAGGCGTAGTCCCACCGCATCTAAAGCTGGAAACAGCAGGAGCTCGCGCATATAGAAGAATTCAAGCGCACACTTATCTCCTACCCCCTTGGAGAGGACCCACCACTTGAATCCCACACTATATGGGAGCGCTGCATGTGACGTTGGAATGCGCAGCAAGACCACATGAGGCAAACTCGCCTGGGTTACGAGCTTACTCTAGGGAGCCGTGGGAGAATTTTTTCGCTCGGCCAGGGTTTGAGGTCAGAAGAGGCCTCTTGGACCAGGCGGAGACCCACCTACTCGCTTTTTAAAGACAATAGTCTTCTTGGGGACCTTCGACGGAAAAATTTTGGTCTGTCTGTCTGTTTATGTGTCTGTCTGTATGTACATTTGTCACTTTGTCCGGTCTTAACGATACTGTAAACGGTCGACCCCATCTGCAGCGCCCACCACTATTGCTCAAGGTTTAGCGTTTATACTTGTGCGATTGTCAAATAAAAAGCAATTGTTGCGCATATCTGAGGTACCACAACAACACGTCGATGTTCTGTATGTCTTTTATACTAGAGAATGCACACACAAGTAATTCTAAGGAACGTAGCGTTAAACACGTTGCGCTGGCAGTGGGACCCGATAAAAGGCAAGTGTTACCAACGCTTCCCTAAAACGAGATGGTGGTAGCACCTGTCCGTCGCTTTGCTTTCTGCATCTTATCGCCTCCGAGAATGACGGATCTTTCTTCGCAGGCGCGCATGCCTTCCTTCGTTTTCGACGATAAATGCCAGATGGCACTCGTGTACAACGCGCCTCGATGCGCTCGTTCGCCTTCGCTACACGCTCGAGGCACTCCAAAGCAGTGCCTCCAGAATACCATTCACCAATTTTATTGCGCAGAACATCAAATCAATGTTTTGTTCACTCTCTCCAGAAGCAAGACTATCGTCTTTCGACGAGATTTGCAGGCTACATGCAGATCCGGAGCCATTTTTCCCCTTCTACCCTTTCCACTCAATAATAAATAAAGTGTTTCCACCACCATCGTCACAAGTGGCGTCTGAAAGGCTTAATGTTGTTGCCCTGGGCATGTTTATACGTAGCTGTTCTTGTA